CATCTCGTCTCAGAGTTTGACTGTCTTCGGGTGCACAACTTGCACTGAATCCGATGTGCTCCATATACACGAAAACACAGGCCATCACACGTGTCTTGCTCCACTCCGCTCAAGTCGGTGCACGCGTTCTCGCAGTTTGACAAGGCCAGCACGCAACGCTGGGTCGTGGCTGGCATCCATTCGCAGCCTACCTACCTGCGCCTCCCGCGCAATGCTCGCCGCGCACTCGAGGCCGCGCGCTCGATCGGCCAGAGCGCTGGGATGGAAGCCGACCTCGTCCGACGTGCGGCGTGGGTGCCACGTCCTCTCCAGCTCCTCCCACTCCGTCAGCCTCGAATGCTTTGGCGCCGTAATCGGCACCTCCGGAATGGTATGAAACCCGATCGTCCCCGCGCTCGTCTCCGGAAGCTGGGAGAGGATGAGTGCTGCGGCTGTCTTGGGCTCCTGGCGAGGTTGGGGCGCCGGCCGAGCCTCACGCGTCTTTGCCTGCCGCCGCATTTCAGCGAAGCGTCGGTCGTACGTGTCTTGGTTGGACGTGACAAAGTCTGCCAGCTCTTGCCTGACTCGCTGCAGGTCCGCCACGGCCTGGTGGCCCCTCATGGTCGGTGACTGAAACGTTTGGAACCCAAGAAAAACACTCGAATTTTCTTTCTTTCTGCACCGCTTCATTTCATTTCTGTTTGCACCGCCGCTTCGGGGTAAGACCTCGGGTCGACCCACCTCATCACTGCTCGGTTCATATACAAACATCGACAATCTAGGTCTTCCTTGAAGTATGTGAAGAGGGGGGGTTGGCTCTCGAGGGTTAGCAGGGTTTGTGGTCTGTTCAGAGCAGTCGTTATACGACCGCTTTGGGACACATCCAACAAAGACGTGTAGCGCCCACCTCGCGGTTCGCGCGCACGCTTAGACGAGCAAATCTCTCTCGTCTCTCAAACACGTTCTGGCGGTGCGGCGTGAGGCAGCAACGCTCCAGGTTCACGCTAGTCACGCAGTCACTACAGTCAGCATCTCCACTCCACAGGGTCCTCACAACCCACACAGCCAAGATTGACACCTTGTGCAGCATCGTGCAGCATCGAACCGACTCCCCCCTCCCCCCCTCTCCTTTGCATCCTCACACGAGCAGCCGGCGGCCGTAGCCGTGCCAGCCTGCCCGGAACGATAGGCGATTGCCACCATGTTTGGTCGAGTCGCCTATGGTCGAGGTGCCCCTATGTTAAGGGGGGGTGGGTTGGCTTGGTCGTCGTCATCTCCATCGTCGTCACATCGACCGCCAAATGTTGCACAATCGCCCGGCGTGTTGAAGCATCCGGCACTCGGCTTTTGTGTTTTGGGCACGCACCTGGGGGCAATCTAGGGACGTGTCATGGATGTGTCGAGAGCGGCGCCATTCGTTTCAACGCACCGGCCGCGTTCGTTTTGGTAGCATCGGTAGTGGCCGGTTGCTGACATCCAGTTAGTTTGCGCGTTGATCCCGGCGGTGCACTGGGAGATGGTCTCGTAGCAGACGCCTAAGTGGACGCGCTAGGTGACGGAGACTAAGAAGGTGAAGCAACCTTGCAGGTCGTCCGCGCCGTTGGTGTAGTATGCTGGCTTGAACGCGTGCGTGAGGCACTGCCCGGCGCACTCGGCAATGCCCTCCATGTAGCAACGCGGTCCGCTGTCTCGGAGATTGTTGTCTCGGTAGTGCACTTGCCCTTGCTTGCAGTCTTGGAGTGGGTTGCCTCGCTGCACGCCTGAGGGTTTACCAGATGGGCGTCAAGAGACGCCGCCTGACCATATGTGCGGATGGGCGAGATCTCAAGCTCACCTGGGTGGGGCGCTCCCATTGCGAGGTGGGCTCCTTGCGCCGCTCGAGAGGGACCGCGGCGCAATAATAGTACGTCTCGCCGCGGTGTTCGCCATACCCCGCGGCCGAGGCCCAGCCGGCCGGAAGCGCGCACGGCTCGGTGGGAATCTTCCACTGCGACGGGGGCTTCTTGCCCCCTATCGGTTGCTCGGCGCTGCAATAGTAATACGTCCTTCCCTCGTCGGCGGTGCCGTCGTGGACCACCTTCGAGGCCCACCCGGCTGGGACCTCTGCCTCTGCCGTCTCCATGTTGGCAGCCTCCGCGGCTGCCGAAAGCTTGGACTCGGCCTCGGCCAGCCTAGCCTCCAGATTCGCCTTCGCGGCAATCGCCTCTGCCGTCTGCGCCTTGGCCGCCTCCGTTGCTTCTGCTAGCTTGGCCTCCAGATTCGCCTTTGCAGCGCTCGCCGCCGCCGCCTGTGTCCTCGCCGCCTCAGCCGCGGCCTCTGCTGCAGCAACCTGATGCTGGCCATAGGCGGAGCCCCACTGCTCGTGTTGGCTACCATGGGACGGACCGTGTTGTCCGCCACCACCGTATGCGTAGCCCCATTGCTCGAGTTGGCCGCCTCCGTGGGGGGTCGGGCCGTGTGGGCTGCTACCGCCGTATGCATAGCCCGAGGGCTGGCCTCCTTCATAGTTCTTGCGACGATCCTCTTCACTGCTGGCCTGGGCCTCTTTGAATCCCTTGTAGCCCTCAGAGGCAAGGATCTTTGCCACGTCAATGATGGCTGGGCCATGCTCGACTGCTGCGGCTGCGGCATTGGAGGCGGCATTGGAGGCGGCGTCGGCGGCCATGCCTGAAGACTGGTCAGCGGCGATGTCGGTGGCGTCCTCGTCGCCCGACATCACGGCGAGACCCATCTTCATGGTTGCACCCATTCCGCGGTCCTTGGGCGCAAAAGCCCGCTCGGACGCATCGGAGGCCCAGGCAGCAGCGGGACCAAACGTCTCCAAAAACGGCTGGCTTGCTAGGCCAGAGGTGAACAGAACGGTGGCTAGGATCCCCAGAGTCGCTGCGGCAATACGGCTTACGGGCCAGCCGTGACGAGTGGCCGGTCCCGGTCGCATTCGCATGCGTCACCGTCAGCATCATCTCGCGGAATATAATATTCGCTCCAAACTCAAACGGCGCCGCCGAGTTTGCTACCGGTTTGTTACTTGAGCACTTGAGCACTGGATAGGGTCGATTCCGTAACAAACCGCTCTTTGCGCTTTTCTTCCAGGTGCAGGATTACAGCAAAAGAACCGCGGAGATGCTCGAAGAACCGTGTGTTTACTGGGCTGTTTTTAGGCATTGTGGGGTTGGCACTCCCATCGACCCTCATGACCTCCTGCGGTCTCTGAGATGGACACCAGTGGGTGTGGGACCACAGCCAGGATACACTCGAAGGCTGGGTAAGCAGTAGAGGTCGATACTCGACGCGTCCCACATGGTCTGTGTCGCTGTCGGCACGCTGTCGACAGGACGTCGAGCGACACCGGTGGCAGTGCCACCCAGGAGTGGTCGGGCGGTCTCCCGTCATGAGAGAGCCACCATGTGATCCGTATGATGATTCCTGACAACCGCCTCAGTCAACTTTTGTCACAGTTCCCGCTCTGAGAGGAGCTGCGGGTCAGTTCGACAGCTGGAGCTGTGTCGCCGGCGTGCGGCGGCCTGCCTCCGGAGGTGCCTCTGAGGTGGACATCTTTTGGTCACCGTGAGAGAACGCGTTCGAATTTTCACTCCGGAACTTCAACTGAGCACGCGCACCGGCCAGGGCTACAATAGTGCCAGTGAGGCGGAGGCGCGAGTCGGAAGGCCGCGACCGTCAAGTGTTTTCGTCATTTTCCTACAATCGGTGTGAACCCTGGGCCACGTACTTTATGGCCCTTTCCTCGCGAACGCCGCGAACGCGCACCCCCCAGGGCTAGGGCTCTCTTGCCCGCAACCCGTCCCCGAGCATCCGGCCCGCTGGGTGCGCTTCTCAGCTCCCCGGCCTCGATCCCCGGCCCTGAATGTGAGGTTAATGACTGCATTCCAAGTGCTCCAACCATCAGGACGCCTCGTCGACGACGACGTCGTCTTGCCCAGCCGCCTCCCCTCGACTGGCCCCGCGCTCCCCGCCCCACGGCCGCTCATACTCGACGTGCTCGAGGCACAGCCCCGCCGCGGGCGCCGTCGGGCCCGCGGCGACGCGGTCGGCAGCGGCGAGTACTTGCTCGACGCTGCTCGCGCTCCTGCACCCGACGCCGACCTGCGCGGAGTCCAGTCCCGAGTGGCGGCAAGATGGCGCGAGCGGGGGCGGCTGTGCGGTGTGTCTCTGTGAGGAGGAGGGGTTGTTGGCGGCGGCCTGCAGGAGCGTGCCCGCGACGATCCTCGCCATGTTGTACAGGAAACCGTCTCCCTCGAGGGTGATGGCGAGCCCCTCGCCCTCGCACCAGCGCACGTCGCAGCGGTGCAGCGTGCGCACCTGCCAGGCAGGGGCCAGGCAGGGGCCAGTGAGGGGGGCGGAGCGGCTCACGACGGGGGAGGGGAGTACGCCTCTCGCGCGATGCTGCCGGGGAGAGGTGGTGCGCGGGAGGGAAGAGGAGAGGAGGGGAGGAGAAGCGAGGAGAAGCGAGGAGAGGGGAGGAGAGGAGGCGTGAGCACCGTGGTGCTGCGGCCGCCTTTGCTCTGGAAGGATGCAAAGTCGCGCCTCCCCTCGAGCAACGCGCCTACGGTGCTCGCACGGGCCCCCGACGCTACACGCGCGGCGGCGGAGAGATGGCCCTCACACCAGCCTAGGGCCACCTGCGCGACGCATCGCCTCGACGTCGACGGTCCCGCACCCTCCCTCGCCGCCACCGGCCCTGTCCTCCCCCACGCCGCCCTCGCCGCTGCCTCGCGCCTCTTGGCACACCCTCCGGCAGGCGGCGAGCACCGCAGCAGGCTCGCCTTCCACGCGGTACACATATCGCTTCCACAGGCACGCGCTCGTCGACGAGCCCTTGCGCGCCTAGCGGCCACGTCCTCGACGCGTCCACGACATGTCCACAGCCGCGATTGGCGACGAGCCCATTTCGCCGCGCGCCAGCGCAAGCGACAGGCAGCGCACGTCGGGAGGCAAGGCCGCGTTGACGGCGCCGGTGAGAGCAGTCAGCGCCGTCGACTCGGGCAGGACGGCGTCGAACTGCGCCACCTGCCCGCGCGCCGAGACGCCGGCATCGGTGCGGCCCGCCGGCCAAAACTTGACCCGCTGCGCGAGCACCGGCCGCAGCCGCTCCTCCAGCACGCCCTCGACAGTCCTCAGCGGGCCGTCAGCCAGCTCCTGCTTCTGCCAGCCGTGGAAGCCGCCGCCCTCGTAGGAGAGGACCATCCAGTAGCGGCGGCAGCGTGGATTGCGCCGATCGATCACGCCAGCAGCACGGGCACGGTGCTTCTCCTTACGGGCCTTGCGGGCCGCATAGATGGTCTCCCACTCCGCCTCTGTGCGCTCTGCGGCCCTGTCGCGGAGAGGCCCGTGCGCGTTCTTTGATGTGCCTGCAGCGGTGGATGCCATCTGTGGTCTCTGGCCGCAGCGGCCGCTGCGCCGCAGCGCCGCAGCACGCAGCAACACCCGCACACCTCGCACAAGGCCTTTTCGTTTCTTTTTCAGTACTCGAGCTGAAAGGGTTTGCGATGAGGAGCGATCCGAACGTGGTATTCGGGTGATTAGATCTTTTCCCCTGATCTCACGCCAAATTGGTGAGCCCCAGCCTACTCCGCGTGAACTCTCGATCGAGCCTACTCCCTGAATTCGAGAGATTTTAGCCCCCCGCTACCCGGTTGCACTCGTGCGACGTAGCGGGGGGCCACAACTACGTTTACGAAAACATAAGTAGTCCCGCGAGGTGTGAATTGGCCGCCCAGTTACCCCCATTTCCAGCTGGGGACGCTTTTTCGTGGCAAACCCAAAGTTGCGCTGCGCGCGAAGCCGCTTTTGAAAGCGCGAAACGCATCTCGTCCTACCTCCCACCGGCCCCACCGGCTTTTCGTCGCCCATGCTCGGTCTCGACTTGAGTGCCGCTCGACTGGCCGATGAAGAGCGACCCGTACGACGCGCACTTGTCGTCCTCCCTCCTCGCCACATGACGGCCGCCCTCCGACACCGACAGTCGCGCTCCGCACGCCTTCGAGGTCAGCTGCGGCCGAGCGACGATCGGCTCGCCTCCGATCGCTGGGCGCGGTCACTCTCCGGCCCATCACCCGCCTGCCGATCACCTGTCCGCCTCGCCGCGCGCGGGCCGCTCGCCTGCTCGCCACCGCCGCCGCGTTTCCCCGCGCCGCCACGCTTCCCTGTGCACCTGACCGCGCTCGAGCCGCCGCGTTTCCCCGCGCCGCCACGCTTCCCTGTGCACCTGACCGCGCTCGAGCTGCGCACAGACGGCGCGCTCTGGCAGACAGAGCAGCGGCCGCCCAGGCGGTCGCTGCTCCGCCCAGTCCGAATCCGTCCGCCCGCGCGTGCCGCTGCCGCCGCCGCCGCCACCACCGCGCCGCGCTTCCCCGCGCCGCCACGCTTCCCTGCACCTGACCGCGCTCGAGCTGCGCAGGCAGACGGCGCGCTCTGGCAGACAGAGCAGCGGCCGCCTGGGCGGCTGCTGCTCCGCCCCGTCCGAATCCGTCCGCCCGCGCGTGCTGCTGCCGCCGCCGCCGCCGCTCCACCCGGTTGCCGTGTGTCGTGAGAGTTTGCTTTGTGCATGTGTATGTCGAATGTGTGTGGACTTATGTCACACTTGAGCCTCTATCTATGATTAGTAGACCGGTACTCGGGTTTGGATGGTAGCGGGGGGCCCCGCCGGAGGCTGGTTACTGATTAGCAATACCTCAATACCAAACAACTCTAACACTCACACGTCATTTGGGGCCTGGCGCCCTGTTCACGCGCGCGCAAGACGTGCAGACAGGGTTGCCAGGTGAGAGCGAATGGCGCGGTTCACGCCTCGCACAACAGAGAGAGAGATGCGCTCTGCATGGTGGGACATAAAAGAGAGCGAGTACTTGGGCGAGTAGGCCGTGCGGTCGACGCTGCCGCGCGCGACTTTGCGCGCGAGGCGGCGCAGCTTGAGAACGGCGGTGGGCGAGAAGCCGCCGCCGAACTCTCGTGGAGCAGCAGGTTGAAGTTGTTGCGCTTGACAAAGATCGCGTCGTGGTAGAAACCGCGATGCGCGGTTGACGTAGCCGTGGCCGTTCTTGTGGGAGAAGGGTTGGCCGGGCTGCCCGCGCGCCTTGCAGCCCATGTTTAGGCGGCGGGCCTTCTCTTCGGTGTTGCCGAAGGCGTAGGAGTGGCCAACTGAGGCGGGCGTGCCGCCGCTCGAGGCGTTACCAACGCCCGCCGAGGAGGTCTTGAGGAGGGGCGTCCAGAGCTTTATTTCGTTGACTTCATCGCATCCTCCCGGCCCAGAGTGGGGTTCCGCGAGGTCGACCTTGTACCCCTCATTGTACTGCCGGGTAAGCTCTGGTTTCTCCTTGTCGCCGTGCACGACCGGCGCGTTGGCCGGGGCGCGCATCGCGTCCGCCCAGGCGGCGAGGACGCCGTCGTGGGGCCGCCGGTGGTGGGCCTTGTTGTAAAGGTAGTCGCCGAAGAAATCGACTGGCATGCCCCGCTCGAGCGCGACCCGAAGGGTGGGAAGCGCCACGGAGAGCCAAAGGCCGAGCTTCCGCTGGAGCTCGTCCTGGAGGGTGTCGGAGGAGAGGGCGGTGGCGTACGTTACCGTCGACACGGACATCGAGGGCCTTGCCGGCGAAAGGCGTTGAGGCGGAGACGAAGCAAATCTCACTCCGTACTCGACCATTAAATAAACTCAAAGGCCACCACAGCCACCACCCTCCGCCTCCACCGTCGAGCCGCGATCGCTGCCGCCCGCGACGCCGCCCGCCGCGTCAGATGCCCGCGACGCCCGCGGCGAGTCGAGTCGGAGAGCCGAGCCGCACCAGCAGCAGCATCTGCACCACCACCACCACCACCACCACCAGCAGCAGCAGCAGCAGCAGCAGAGAGAGGCGCCAATTTTGAGGTTGCCCGAGACAGCCTGGAGATGGCCCCGCGTTGTAGCCCCGGTGCCGGCGCCTCACATCTCACTCAGCATCCAGGGGCCGGTTCCGCCGCGCAGTCGAGATGCAGGAGCTCGGGCACAGCTTTGTTGACAAAGAGCTTGAGCAAAATTTCGGCGAAGAAGCGTCACCGGCGGCACGCCGGGATGAATCCGGACCGATCCCATTGTTCAGATCCGTCCGCGGCGGCGAGCCGCCGCGGGCCCACAGGAGGGCTCGGAGCCGCGGCACCGGTCCGCGCCGCCAGCGGGGCGAGAGCACCAGCCACAACCTGCCGACATGGCAGTTGCGACGGCACACGGCACACACGTACGCTGTTCACACCGAGCTCCGAGCAGCAGGAGCCCCGATCGGTTTGGCCTTTTGCAACATATCTGAGGCAGTCGTCTGCCTCGCGGCGCACGAGCCCACCGGGCTCGTCGCGGTCGCCTTCGAGTCAGGCGCTTGCCACCTTCTCGCCACTCCGGCTGACACCGATTACGCGGACTCGACGCCGTCCGCCCTCTCCTGCCTCAGCGTCGGGCATCAGCGTGGCACGCGCTGCCTCGCCTTTGCCACCACGACCGCCACGGACGCCGTCGCGCTCGTGAGCGGCGGCGATGATGGCTGCGTGCACATTGAGACCTGCCACGTGAATAGTGCACGGGTCGCCGGTCGCGGCTGCCAGGACTGCCACGGCCAGGCCCAGGTGGCCACGTCAGCCCCGCGCGATTGCGCGATTGAGGCCGAGCGTGAGAGCGGGGCGACGACCAAGCGGCGCCGCCTCCTCATCGACGAGGTTGTCGCGGACTCGACCCATTGGGCGGTCCCGCTCGGCCGCTCCGTCTGCGTCGGCCTCCTCTCCTCCGGGCAGGTGGCTGCTCCGGCCTCCGTCACACCCTCTCTCTCTCTGGCCGATCCCCGACCTGGGGCGCCTAGGCAGCCACGGGACGCTGCCGCACGCGTCGCCACTTCGTTGCACCTCTCCGCCTCTCCCTCCCCGAGGGCCCCTTCCTCCGCCTCTGCGTACCTCCGCCTCTCCCTCCCTCCGCCCCTCCCAGGCCGTCGCACGGCTCGGCCTCCTCGATCACGCCGTCGACGCTCTCCAGCTGGTGGCACCCGCCGGCACCGTCGCCGCGGCTACCTTTGGCGGAGTCAGTCTGTGGGCTCGAGGCGGCGGCGGTGGCGGGGCGGGGGCAGCCAGCGGCGGCGAGGGCGAGTACGTGCCGGAGCACGCGTCAGAGTACGTGCCTCTGCCTCCGCGCGATCTCGCTGCGGCGCGCGGCGGCGCCGCTGCCTCCCTGCAGTGCGACGGCTGGGCGCGCTCGCTGGTCGCGTCGCCAGACGGCGCGTGGCTGGCGGCGTGGGTGGTCGTGGCCGGCCTCGACGCAACGGCCTCCTCCAAGCTGTGGCTGTGGCGCTGCGCCGACGGCAGCCCCTCCCCCACCCGCCCTCGGCCGAGCGACGTCCGCCACGTGTCCGCCACGTGTCCGCCACGTGTCCGCCACGTGTCCGCCACGTGTCCGCCACGTGTCCGCCACGTGTCCGCCACGTGTCCGCCACGTGTCCGCCACGTGTCCGCCACGTGTCCGCCACGTGTCCGCCACGTGTCCGCCACGTGTCCGCCACGTGTCCGCCACGTGTCCGCCACGTGTCCGCCACGTGTCCGCCACGTGTCCGCGATGTGCCATGTGCCCAGGCGCCGACTTTGAGTGCGGCGGCTTTGGAGCTCCGATTAGCGCGCTGGCGTGGCGGCCAGACTCGGCTTGTCTGGCGAGCTGCAGCGGCAGCGAGGTGCTGCTGTGGCGTTTCGGCGCCGCCACCGCCGCCGCCCGCTCCTCCGCCCTGCCTTCGGGTCCCGCCGGCCGCGCGCCACGACGGCATCCGCACGCCGCCCTCTCCCGCCATCCATCGGACACGACCCGTGACACGTCCTCCCGCCATCCATCGGACACGACCCGTGACACGTCCTCCCGCCATCCATCGGACACGACCCGTGACACGTCCTCCCGCCATCCATCGGACACGACCCGTGACACGTCCTCCCGCCATCCATCGGACACGACCCGTGACACGTCCTCCCGCCATCCATCGAACACGACACGTGAACGTCCCGCCAGGCTCGACGCTCG